GGGCGGATAAATGGCATATGGAGTTTAATCTGGGTAAGTGCGAGGTACTGCGCTTTGGAGATCAAATGTTAACGAAAAGCATACAGTTAATGGCAGGACTCTGAATACCATTGATGTATAGAAGGATCTTGGGGTTCAAGTCCATAGCTCCCCGAAAGTAGCCACACAAGTAGATAGGGTGGTAAAGAAGGCGTATGGCATGCTTGCCTTTATTGGTTGGAGAATTGAGTACAAGAGTCAAGATGTCATGTTGCAACTTTTTAAGAATTTGGTTCGGCCACATTTAGAGTGTTATGGTTAATTCTATTCACCACATTACAGGAAGAATGTGGAGGCTTTGGAGGAGGTGCAAAAGAGGTTTACCAAGATGCTGCTTGAATTAGAAACTTCAGATTTTCACCATCTGCTTTTCAATGAAGAGCCTGACCACTCCCTTCACCGTCACAGCTACCGTGGCCCCACCCACGTCTCCTGTCCCCGTCCCACAATCCCCGTTCTTCCAGTCAGGCCCCGCCCTACCTCTGGCCCTGCCCTCGTCTCCTTCCCGTCATCCGTAACGACCCCTCCACTCAGGCTCCGCCCACCACCTAAGCCCCGCCCCACTGCCGCACCGCCCATCGCCCCGCCCCTCCCCCGCCGGATCCTGCCTGCCACAGCGGGCCCCGCCCCCGTTCCCATGGTCCCGCCCCGGCACCGAGCCTGCGTCAAGATGGAGGAGCTGCTTTCGGCTGTGTGTGAGGGCATGGACTTGGAGGCGAACGATGATCTGCGGCTGCCGTTGCGGAACCTTGCGAACGGCCTGAGGGAGGTGGTGTCGCAGCTGCGAGGTGAGTTCGGCTGACTCCGGGGAGCAGGCCTCAGGATCCTCCAACAGCAGAGATCCCGCGGCTGGGGGAGAGGACTGCGGACCCCAGGCAGGGCCTGTACCCGAAGGACCCCACTTTGTCTGTGGGTGTACGGACATGTACTGGGATCTACCGCAACACCCCAGTGACAGTGACAGTGAAAGTGAAAGGAGCAGTAATGGGGTAAGAGCTGGCTCTAGGAGCTCAGAGCCAGTGGAAATAGCGGCAGCAGTCTGACATTTGGGTGTGTGTACTTGATCGACGCTTACAGGCTGGGACCCAATAGAGGGGCTCTAAGTTGTTTATATTCCTAATCGAGCCTCAAATGGACAAGTTCATCTATTTACTTCCTCCATATTGTTTCAGCAGACTTCTGACTAGCGTCCTATCTCCTTTCTCTGCCCCCCTCCCCGCCTTTTGAGTTAATATAAAACTCAGTTAGCTATATTCTCATTCAAGTCCAAATACAGAAACAAAAATTCTGAAGTTTTAAAAAAAAAAGCAGAAAATGCTCAATGGGTCAGGAAGCAGCCGTGGCGAGAGAATCGGAATTAATATTTCAGGCCTGGAACCGTCCTGGTGAAAAGTCTGAAATGTTAACTATTTCTTTCCTCACCATCGTTGCCAACCCGTTGTGTTCTTCAGCATTTCTGTTAATTTTACTTGCCACCTTCCCTGTGCTCGTCAATTAGCATTGGCTTCTGGTATGCGCCTTTGGCTTTTTTTTGAAAGGAAACATTTTCATTTTTGTGCCTAAATCCCATCCTGGCTGAACCACTCATATCTTTGTCACCTCCTCTAGCCTCACAATCATAACAGCATGTTTTTCTAACTTTAGCATTATATGCATTTTTCCAACCATTGGTGGGTTTACCTAGATTGTCTAGGGCTAAATTTTGGAACTCATTAGCTAACAGCATTGTGGATGCACCTACACCACATGGACTACAACGGTTTAAGAAGAGACAATAAGAACTGCCGATGCTGGAGTCAGAGATAACATAGTGTGGAGCTGGAGGAGCACAGCAGGCCAGGCAGCATCAGAGGAGCAGGAAAGCTGACGTTTCAGGTCCCGAAATGCTGCCTGGCCTGCTGTGTTCCTCCAACTCCACACTGTGTTATC